TTTCGAGGTATTAATTAAATTCTTCCAGCGTTTACACCAATTGTGTAATGTGTTAAGCATGGTCTGAAGCTTCTCCTCGGAGTCCGCAAGCAACACAATATCATCTGCGTACATCTAAATGGAAACATATGTGTCACCTACTTTAATGCCTATATTCAGATCGTTTATTTCTTTTACTAAGTCATTAGCAAAAATTGCAAATAATGTAGGCGAGAGTGGACAGCCTTGATTTACACCTGTTTTACATTGAAACCAGTCGTTAAGTTTATTATTGATCCGAATGCATGATAATGAGTTTGCATATATATTCCGTATTGAGTTATACACCTTTCCGTCAATTTTGTGCAGCAATAGTTTGTAAAGTAGCATTTCTCGGTCAATAAAGTCAAAGCATTTTTTTAGATCAATGATGGCGGAAAACACCTTTGGGTTATTTTGTATAATGCTATGTAACGTAAAAGTGTGGTCTTCACAGGAACGGCTTGACCGAAAGCCATTCTGTTCGTCTGCAAGCATTTGGTTATCGTCTAAATACTTGGTCACTCTTTTATTAATAAACGAGGTGTATAGCTTACTTATACAGGACAAGAGGCTAATCCCACGATTGTTTAACGGTATATGTTTGTCTGTGTTTTGATCTTTTAATATCGGACAAATTATCGCCTTACGCCAGAGAGACGGTATGATGCTACAGTCAAAGATCAATTGAAATAGTTTTTGTAAAGTGGCAATCACTGGTGCATTTTTCAAAACATCATAGGGTATGTTATCAAAGCCGCAGTATGAGTACTTTTTCGCTTGCATAACTATATTTGAAATTTCAGTCATTGTAATATTTCCGTTTAGCTGGTTATTGCTTTCATATAATAGGTCTTGCATGTTCATTTCAAGTAACTGCTTATGTAATTTTGCTCGGTCATAATGTACGTCATCAAAATCACTATTTTCACATCGGTTAAACAGGTTTTTGAAGTATATTCGCCATTTTTCTAAAACCCGCCTCTCATCACTTATAACACTGTCATTTTCAATAACTTCAACTGGTATTGTTTTATTGGTTCTGGGCCCAAGGCTTTTGATTTTACGCCAGAATTCTGTTGGGTTCGATATTGATATAAATATGGCCCAGGTTGCTTTTATTTTATCCTATGTTGTGTCATTTTACAGCTGTGTGAGGCTGGAAAGAGGTTTGCCACACCTGGTAAATGTTGGGAATGCTGTGACACCTACCTCTGCAATGATAAATGCTCATGTAAGTGCAAAAGAAAATTTCATTTAAACCTCTTATTATCTAAGTTTTAACTCAATTTTGATATATTCTTGCACTTGCCAATTATTACTAGATGTCTGCAAGTTAATATGATAGTAAAGTTTAGGTTACACTATATTAAATGTTTTGGGCTTTTTATTTGATTTAAAGTGAAACCGATACTGTGAAGGTTACATTGCAACTTTTCATCAGTACTGGTTGAGTAAGACCACAGTTGTCCATTCTTAAGTAGTATTTCAGTCACAAGCGGTTATCTGAGTTGGACTACCTATATTTAGTAAGCTATCCGGATAGCATCCTCCCATTTAAGCACCCAAAGCCCCTGAAAGGATTCGAATCTACAGCAGCGATGAGTAAATGATCAAAAGTCTACAGTCTTTATAATATTTTTTTAACATTGATAACTTCATGATAAAAAGAAAACAAAATAATATATTATGATGAAAATAATACACATTTATTCATAACTGGTTTATTATTATCATAAAGAAGTGTACAGTTTTCAATTTTTGCCTATATAAATTAAGAAATAAATCGTGTGGAGTGGTGCGATTTATCGCGTGCTTGCTTCGGACTAACACCGCAACGATATGTCTCGGTTACACATAAATTATTTCGTCTCTTACAATTCTGATTTGCTTATGTAATGTATATATTTTGTACTTTTAGCAAATACTTCTGGACCATGTGTTGACGAGGCTCAGTGCGCGGTCATGTTAAAGACCGGATATGACGTATGCAGTAACACACTCATGGCTGTTCAAATTTGTAGCAAAACGTGCAAGATATGCTGAAAATTGTAATATTTGTTAATGTTAAGGAATATCAATAAAGTTCAATGTAAATAACAGGATGTCTAATGTTTTGATCATATAACCAAGCAAAGCGTGAGACTACGGTTTGTATAGAAGGGTACAAAATAGAAAAAAGTTTATTTTTATTAAGTATATTTTTCATATAGGTGTAATCATGACATTTTCATTTTTATCAATGTGACACTCTGACACAACTGACACACTGCATAATAATATCGTACACGAACAAAGGAAATTCTACATGTTGTTGAGCATAAAAATGAAATCCAATTTTTCTAATGTTGACATCTTAATTTGTGCCAATGTTGAGCTAAAAGAATTCCTAATCTCAATTTTGCTTACTAAAGATTGCTTAAAAGCAAAACCTCTGATGCACAACCACAACTACACTACACATGCTGGCTAACATTTCTGTAAAGTTTTATGAATCAAGGTGAAATACATTTTGAGTTACGCGCGACACAAATTGAGAATTACAACGCCTTAGTGGTTGGGGTATAACAACAATATAAAATCTTGCCAACATTAATAAAGAGTTTCATGAACAACCTTACGAGTTACGTAAGAAACAAATTAAAAACAACAAATTCTTTACTTAGGCAAGGGCAATTACTAAACATGTAATAAATAGATTCACAAGCAAACCCCTATTTGCATAACTACACATGCTGACAAACATAAACGTTTTTTGACTCCTGCTCAAGCACTTTTAGTGGTACACGTGACACAACATTTTGAAACTGATTTTAGTTCGTCAAGGGCAATAAATCTACAAAACCTGAATGAAGATACAAGCAATCTCCAAGGTGGAGAACTGTACAAGCTAATTATTTTTTCATGATGCTATGTCAAAAACTTGTTGGACTACGCACAAATTCAAAATTTTATATTTTTACAAAGTCAAGGACAATAACTATACAAAAAAGAATAAATGAACAGCAAACCCCAAGCTATACAACAGCGGTTGCTGACCAATATTACTTTAATGTGTCATGACTCAATGTCATATACTTTTAAAGCTACGCGCAACACTAGTTGAAACTTGCATTTATTTTACTTAGTAAAGGGCAATAACTCTACATATATTGAAAAAATTCACAAGCAATCCCCACGTGCATAACTTCACACGATGAGCAACATTCTTGTAAAGATTGTTGACTATAGCTCAAGCCTATTTAGAAGTGCATGTGACATAATATTCAAACAATTTTTAAAGGCGATTACTCTTCAAATCATGTATAAATATAATAGCAAAACGCTATGTGTAAGACTACAGATACTAATTGACCAACATTTCTGTAAAGTGCCATGCCTGTAGGTCAAATAACCGTTTTGGCTTCGCGGAGCAAAAGTTAAAAATGCAAAACCTTTTTAATACGTCAATAGCAATTACTCTACAAATACTTGGTAAATATACATGTACAAACAAACCTCAAGGTGCATGGTTACACATGCTCTGAAGAATTTCTGATAAGTTTCATGACTGTAGGTCAAATCCTTTATATCTACATATACTCGATCAGATATTGTGGGTCAGTTCATCATATCTGCTGTGGTCTTTAGCTGTCTAGGCACTCTAGAACAGACTGGTTTTAATTTTGTAAAATGTTGCCTCTTACATTACGACTAATCTACTCTCGACGCAAATTGAAAATTTGCAAATTTTTACAAAGTCAAGAGCAACTAGAAATGCGTCCATTAGATACGGATTTCACAATATTTCCCTTTTTCAGTTTACTGACGTACAGCAAGACAGTATTACTAAGTCAAGGGCAATAACCCTAACTAAACTGAATTAATCCGAAAGCGAAACTCCGTGTGCACAACGTCATTGCATGCTGATCAAAATTCCTGTAAGGTTTGTTGACTCTAGCTCAAGTTGTGTTAGAGCTGTATGTGACACAACATGAAACGAAAGGATGTACAGACAGACGGTAAGTGGTGGGGAAATCTAAATGCACTCCATAGATTTTGGGCATAATGTCGCTAACAAAATTGACTTAATTCACATGTGAACCCCAAAGTGCACTACTGTACATGCTAATTAACGATTATGTTCAGTTCCTTGATTCTCGCCCAAGAACTTGTATGGCGACACGCACGCATAGACAAGGGCCCCTTCCGTCATAAAGTTAAGCAAAACATAATGTATTTTTACAGATAGTAATTTTATTCTATTTGAAATTTTAATTTTACATTTCTGACTTTTCATAATTTTGGCAAATTGTTGCATATATCTATTTTCTGCTGTTATAGTTTATTTTTAGTAATTTAGAAAGTTTCTTGCTCAAGGAAACAACGACTTGCCCCTGACGGAGTTTGAACCCATTCGTAAAGCGGTTATAAGATTACTAGTCTGACGCGTTAACCATTCGGCCATGCCGCCACCTTTGCACCTTAGTTATCGACTACGTTGATTTTTTAACACTGGGGAATGCGATTTAATTAGAACTAGCCTTGTGTGTACGAGGAGGAACTAAAATTTTGTTAGTTAAAAAATAGCTCGAAAAAAAAACAATTAATCAAAATATGCATTTTTCTCGATTTGAACCAGGGACTGTACACTAACGAAGTTAATACCCTTTGCACAATGCTGAATGGATATTCATGAGTAATAATAGTTAAGTTAAAACAAAAACATTTAGGCGATAAAAAGTATGGTTTATAAAAGAATTGTCGACACCCTAATATGTCAATACTGATGTAAGTAAAAAATACATGATAAAAGAAAAAAACAAACAGAAGAATCTTACTTCCTATAAAAGTATCGGTATGAGATGCGGAACACTAAATGTTAGCGTGAAACTTCGTAGACGAACACAAGCAAATTATTACTCCGCAAGTCTGCAAAGTGACAACATGTATTTAAATAGGAATGATAAAGTAACCAAATCCTGTGAAACGCTGTCTATATAGTTGTTATGCTCCCCGAAAAAATTTCGGGGGAGCATATAGTCGCCGCCTTGTCCGTCCGTCCGTCCATCCGTCCGTCCGTCTTTCCGTCCGTCCGTCCGTCCGTCCGTCCGTCCCCTTTTCTTGTCCGGGACATAACTTTGAAACAACAAGAGGTATCAACATGAAACTTTGTAGGTAGATAGATCTCATTAAGTAGGTGTGCAGTGCACAAGAACCGTAACTCTGCCTTGCCAAATTTTTTAATTATTCCCCTTTGTTTATTTTTACACTTTGAACTTTGTCCGGGACATAACTCTAAAAGTATAAGAGGTATCAACATGAAACTTTGTAGGTAGATAGATCTCATTGAGTAGAAGTGCAGTGCACAAGAACCGTAACTCTGCCTTGCCTAATTTTTGAATTATTCCCCTTTGTTTATTTTACACTTTGAACTTTGTCCGGGACATAACTCTAAAAGTATAAGAGGTATCAACATGAAACTTTGTAGGTAGATAGATCTCATTGAGTAGAAGTGCAGTGCACAAGAACTGTAACTCTGCCTTACCTAATTTTTGAATTACCCCCCTTTGTTTATTTTACACTTTGAACTTTGTCCGGGACATAACTCTAAAAGTATAAGAGATATTAACATGAAACTTTGTAGGTAGATAGATCTCATTGAGTAGAAGTGCAGTGCACAAGAACCGTAACTCTGCCTTGCCTAATTTTTTAATTATCCCCTTTGTTTATTTTACACTTTGAACTTTGTCCGGGACATAACTCTAAAAGTATAAGAGGTATCAACATGAAACTTTGTAGGTAGATAGATCTCATTGAGTAGGTGTGCAGTGCACAAGAACCATAACTCTGCCTTGCCTAATTTTTGAATTATCCCCCTTTGTTTATTTTACACTTCGAAATTTGTCCAGGACATAACTCTAAAAGTATAAGAGATATCAACATGAAACTGTGTAGGTAGATAGATCTCATTGAGTAGGTGTGCAGTGCACAAGAACCGTAACTCTGCCTTGTCTAATTTTTGAATTATCCCCCTTTGTTTATTTTACACTTTGAACTTTGTCCGGGACATAACTCTAAAAGTATAAGAGATATCAACATGAAACTGTGTAGGTATATAGATCTCATTGAGTAGGTGTGCAGTGCACAAGAACCGTAACTCTGCCTTGTCTAATTTTTGAATTATCCCCCTTTGTTTATTTTACACTTTGAACTTTGTCCGGGACATAACTCTAAAAGTATAAGAGGTATCAACATGAAACTTTGTAGGTAGATAGATCTCATTGAGTAGGTGTGCAGTGAACAAGAACCTTAACTCTGCCTTGCCTAATTTTTGAATTATCCCCCTTTGTTTATTTTTACACTTTGAACTTTGTCCGGGACATATTTCTTAATGTATAAGAGATATCAACATGAAACTTTGTAGGTAGATAGATCTCATTGAGTAAGTTTGCAGTGCACAAGAACTGTAACACTGTCTTGCCTACTTTTGGAGTCATTGCCCTTTGTTCATTTTGACACTTTGAACTTTGTCTGGGACATTACTCTAAAATTATAAGAGATATTAACATGAAACTTTGTAGATAGATAGGTCTCATTGGGTGGAAGTGCAGTGCTTAAGAATCATTACTCTGCCTTGCCTTATTTTGAAGTAATTGCCCTTTGTTTATTTTTACTTTTTGACTTTTGTCCTTGACATTACTTTAAAACTATTAGAGATATCAACATGAAACTTTGTAGGTAGCTAGATGTAATTGGATAGAACTGCAACGCTTCAAGAACCTAAACAAAGCCTGGTCTAATTTTGGAGTTATTGCCCTTTGTTCATTTTTTTTATACTTTCCTGTGTCCAGAACCTTCTCGGGGAGCATCACCCGGTTCAACCGGTTCTTGTTTTTGTTTGTTTTTGTTTTGTCGAGAGGAGGGAGAGGTCAATATTCAGAGAAAGTCTAAAACACTTTTTTCAATTTTTCCCCTCCTTTCCCCGAATTTCGTGCCCCCTTTCCCTGTACCTATAAACTTTGTGGACCTATAAATCATCAATCAATTGTTTTCTTTGATTATCTTTTCGGTTACTATTGTTAAGTTTTAGGTATCATTTATGTGATTACCTTGTCCGTGCTCTGCCTTGCGCCCTGTCCTTTTTTTGTTTGGGCTCCCTCTTGCCTCTGGTTCTTGTTGCTTGGTCGTTTGGGGGTTGCAGTCATTAAACGCCGCCTTTCCTTCTTGATCCTGTTTATCATATTTTAACATGACTTTGTTGTAAAGAGGAAACATTTTAGCAAAAGTTCGCTTAGAATATAGTAATTTCTATTTTATTTCTATGACGTGTTTGGAGGCTGACTGGCTTTGCTTTTTCTTACTCTAATTTAGTTTTATCAATTTATTAGCAGCAGAGATAATGCCATTTAAGTTTTTATTACTTATTTATTTCACATGCAGCCACCTTATTGAGTTTACTATAATTGGTGTAGCAAAGGACAACCCAAGGATAGACCCTTTTGTATTTAAAATCCAGCAGTTGTTACAAGTTTGTTTATTACTTTTTAGTTCTTGCATTAATCATGTTCAACATGTTCAAAGAACGCGGCAATGTTATATTAAGTAGAAGACGCCATAAGGGTCATTCCAAGAAGTTTAGCAAAATGAACAAAGCATTTGAGAACGAGATGGAGTTATTTTACTTTTTGTACAACTCAAGCTTCATTACTGTACAGTTTCAATACAATTTGCAGATCTTGTTAAGCATGAACAAATTTATTATATGATCAAGCTGTGCAAGTTGGAAAGAACATTTTTTATTAAAACACTTTAGTTAATGGCCTAGCAATAGCAATACAACTCACTAATTGCAAAATATACATTTCATCAATTATTGATTAAAGTGAACAGGTTGCATATGTTGTAGCTGGCTATCCTATAATTTCAAAACTTATATCATTATAATTATTATATATCATTACATAAAATATATCATTAAGTATTTTATTTCTAAAACACAACTACTTATATCAAACAATGCTAAATTGAAAAATTAATCATTTCTCCATTTTAATTGAAATCATTTTGGAGTATTTATAATGATCACATAGTGAAACATCACTGGACAAAATGACATATGTTTGTTAATGTCAGTTCTTAAATAAAATATGGCAGTTGTAAAATGTTGTCCTGTACTTCATCTCAGTCTTGTCATATTTAACTTCGGAATCATTGATTCAATTACATTTATTTTTGAAGACTGAACACCGCTTAACCTTGGCTAGGGGCGTGAGAGACGCTGCATCTTTTCAGTATACATGTATCTTATAATCAGTCTTATTTACAGCAACATAATGTAAAAAGTAAGTCAGCCTCTAGATATAGACATGAACTTTAAATTTGACATAATAAAGGGCACATAAAAGTACGACTAAAGTAACAATAATAACAGAAGCTTCCAGAAGTTAAAAGTCTGTTTTATAGAATAAAAAAGGGGATCACATTTTTTATAGAATACTGACCGGGAATCATTATTCTATGGGGTCACTTTACTCCGTTACACGGGATAATACGTGTAAGTAGCGAAAACTAATCAAGATTCTGAAAGAATAAGGCACATTGTTTTCATTACGGAATACCGTTAGGGCCATCAGGGTTATACGTTTAAATACAGAGGGCGACATTGCGAGAGTGCGATGACGACAATACGACAGTGCGATGACGAGAATGCGACAGTGCGATGACGAGAATGCGATAACGCTATGGCAACAATGCGATTACGCGATAGTACGATGACGACAAAGCGATAGTGTTGTCGCACTGTCGCCATCGCATTGTCGCACTCTCGTCTTCGCACTGTCGCATTCTCACATTGTCGCACTCTCGTCATCGCACTGTCGCACTCTCGCATTGTCGCACTCTCGTCATCGCACTGTCGCACTCTCGTCATCGCATTGTCACACTCTCGTAATCGCACTGTCGCACTCTCGTCATCGCATTGTCGCACTCTCGTCATCGCACTGTCGCACTCTCGTCATCGCAATGTCGCACTTCGTCATCGCACTGTCGCACTCTCGACTATCGCCTTCTGGTGGACGGTTCTAAACTGCTGGCGAATAAGCTGACGGTATAGAATATGGGATAATTTAACTTTTGTCAATTTCATTTTTATTTGGCTCAAACTTCATAGGATGATGGCAACAATGCGATTATGCGATAGTACGATGACGACAAAGCGATAGTGTTGTCGCACTCTCACATTGTCGCACTCTCGTCATCGCACTGTCGCACTCTCGCATTGTCGCACTCTCGTCATCGCACTGTCGCACTGTCGTCATCGCATTGTCGCACTCCCGTCATCGCACTGTCGCACTCTCGACATCGCACTGTCGCATTGTCGCATTCTCGCCATCGCACAGTCGCCCTCTCGTCATCGCACTGTCGCACTCTCGTCATCGCATTGTCACACTCTCGTAATCGCACTGTCGCACTCTCGTCATCGCATTGTCGCACTCTCGTCATCGCACTGTCGCACTCTCGTCATCGCAATGTCGCACTTCGTCATCGCACTGTCGCACTCTCGACTATCGCCTTCTGGTGGACGGTTCTAAACTGCTGGCGAATAAGCTGACGGTATAGAATATGGGATAATTTTACTTTTGTCAATTTCATTTTTATTTGGCTCAAACTTCATAGGATGATTGCCCATATTGAGTAGAAGACCCCTATCGATTTTGGGGTCACAAAGTCAAAGTTCAAGGTCGCTATTACCTCAAAACTGAAAACAGTTTCCAGAGTATAACCAAAGTTCCATTTGGCCCACAATATTCAAACTTTATTGGAGGATTGCTGTTTGAAGGAGGTAATACTTTATTTAATTTATGTAATGTCTTACAAATGCTTCACTCTTAGTAAAAAATCACTTTCGGGCGTATAATATTCCGCCTAGCGGTGCTCTTGTTATATATGTTTTACATTTTATCTCATATAGACGTGTTTTCACGCCTTTTCATCCTCCCTTTTGATGCCTATAATAGTGAAAACCATGCCCTATTTATCAGATACATCGAGGTGCATGAGAGGGGGTACCCTCTTCTGCACGGGGGTTTGAAGGGTGACTGCCGCCCCACTCAACTCCAAGAAATAATTGGACAGGTCGATCTTAGGTAACGTGTAACCAACGCTGAAAGATACATATTCGAATAACCTACTACCTACTAGCTGGTAGTTGGTTATTCTTAATCCTCCACTCCCTACCGGCAGGTAGTTGGTAATTCGAATTTTGCATGTTTCCCTAAAAAAAAAACAACAACAAAAAAAGTCAGTAAGAATTTTTCCGGATTAAATATAATGGATAGAATGATGTGTTTTTCAACATTGAAACAAATTGTGTCACTATGTCCACCAGCGGAGTCAGTTGTCTATAGTACAATATGCTGACCAATTAAACTTATACATTATAGTAGGATCTGCTGTTAAGTTAATCTTAAAGTGAAAATTGTTGACCACTTATGTTAGATATATAGAAAAAATTATGTGTTGACGTAAATTTCTAATTACATGTATCTTTATTTACAATGTTGTAAGTAATATACTTAATTATACATCTTACAAAACAATAAAAACACTGATGACGATAAATGAATAAATTTCGTTTGTCTTTTTCATACAAGTAATAAACAATGATTTTTTCATCTTTTAAATGTCAACATGAGATCATTTTCATCTGAAATATTTCTATTACATTGTATATAAAAGTTTCACACAATTTATTACATTTTCCGTCTATGTTTAACTCTTTCAGTATTTATATACAAAATGATTCTTATTATTAATTTATGATTTCATTTAAACATTATTAGTATACAGAAAAAAATAACAAATAAATAATAAAAAGAAAAAGAAAAACAAGAAGAAAAAAAAATGACAAACGTAAAATTATCCCATATTCTATACCGTCAGCTTATTCGCCAGCAGTTTAGAGCCGTCCACCAGAAGGCGAGAGTCGACAATGCGATAACACGATGACGACAGTGCGATGGCGACAGTGCGATAGCGACATTCCGACAATGCAATGACGACAGTACGACAATGCGACAGTGGGACAGAGCGATGTCGACAATGCGACTGTGCGATCGCGACAGTGCAATAACACTATCGCTCTGTCGTCATCGTACTATCGCATTATCGCACTCTCGCCATCGCACTTTCGCCATCGTACTCTCGCATTGTCGTCATCGCACTGTCGTATTGTCGTCATCGCATTGTCGCACTATCGCATTGTCGCACTCTGCATTTTAACATTTTATCTACGATGGCCCTAACGGTATTCCGTTTTTCATGGATGATCCCTCGGAATTAATAAGACCCACAATTGGATATGAAAATTTTAGATCTTGTTACCGCCAAATAGACAGGTCACCTCGGGACGGATTTTCCGATCCGAACTGCAACATGTGTCAAATACCGTATAAGTACTTATTTCTGCGGTCTTAATATTCTGCGATTTTTGTAAAAATAAGGGATTTTAGATTTTTGCGTATCTTATTTCTGCGATTTCATCATTCTCGCATTGATGCGTTTTATTTTTGCGTTTGAATTGAGATATTTGTTCAATAGAAACAGACAACATGTCAAGATTTAATGACTTCCAGGTACAAAGTACAGACGACTGATAACGTGTTTCGTCGTAGTCATCATGTTTCTGTATATACACGTTAATAAACTAAAGAACACTTAAACAACAACAACAACATGCAAATACAATTTTTAAAAAAAATTATGTCAATCCAATCGATTTTAAGTGGACATGTGCAGGTAAGTGTGAAGAATAAACAATGGCAAAATCGCACATAGACCCAAGATATTGTACATATACAAAAGAGTATGTTTATTGCAGGTTTTAATGACAATAACAAACAATGGTAATGTTTTATCAAATCTTTGATAATGATATCGTTAAATATATTTTAAAATGAGAAAATAAAAACAGGGGTATAAACAATGGTATAAACCGCACGTGGACACATTTTTGTAGTTACTTGCAATAATACTCAATATAAATTTGTATCGAGTATTTGTACATAATATAAAAATATTCTGCAGAGAAAATAATATTAATTTTAGCAAAATGAACTAGCACAGAAACATTCATTTTTTTCTGATCTTTTATTCACGACGGATACATAAAGAAAAATCCCAAAACCGTTAATTTCTACAAAAGCTGATAACGATATAATTATACAATGCCGGTAGTTAAAATATTCCGACATATACATAAGGAAAGTCTTAATTTTCTGCCGTTTTTAAATTTGCGGTATCGTTATGAACCTCAGAAATAAAGTTCCTGCAGAAAAAAGTACTTATACTGTAGTATTATTCTTGCACATCAGACTGGTGTGTCCGTTATTTCTACCCTTGCTTGCAATTTCATCTGGCTTTCATTGATGCTGATCTTGTTTTACATATATTTGCGACAGCCTTAAGACCTTATAAGATCACTAGCGACCTGTTTGATCGCAAGGAGGTTTTTGTGCATCTCAAAAACTTTTCTACGACTGAAATTGGTCGTGGGACCTAAATTAGATAACCTGCGACTGTCAAAGATCACCGATGACCGTCGTAAGACGTTTTAAAGATTGTCCGCGACTAGAGGTCACTGGTGATCGTGAACTGGTCTTCACTGGTCGTAAGCTATAATGTGACTGGGGCTTAACGGGACATTTAATAAATTCGCCAATAAAATACATGTAAACCAGAAACAATGCAGGCATCCTTCGTGGAAACGTTTAAAAAGGTACTGGACTAATATGACATGAAATTGATAGAAATGAAACACTTTAGATAGGAACAGAACAGAACAGAAATTTTATTTTCAGACTTGTACAAAATACATCGTCTACACAATACAAACAATTAAATATATTTAAGTATAAGTCACATTACATAATAATATCATAGTCAAATGTAAGCAAAGCATATGTTTTTATTGTTTAATTTATAATTCCGTTAATACAAAACATATCAAAATATTATCAAAGCAAAATGTAATCTATATTTAAAGTTAGACATTATGCAATCAATACTTATTTATCTACGCTATGTTACACAGAGGATTAACCGTGAATTCAACGATGTGTAACTGATATTCTCATAGCCAATGCTTCTCGTATATAACACGCAAGGTTACGTTAAATAATCTTATTATCACTATTTAATAATTCTAAAAATTTATACAAACTAGGTCTAACGTAATAAAAATTCTAAATATATTTCTTTCTAAGGTCATTGTAACAAGTGCAAACCAGGAACGATATTCACTTGCTATTTTAATTAACACCTGAATTCCTCGTTGGACATCTTACGGATACTACCGGTATGAAATGGGCATGCCCATCCGCTTCTCTATCTTCGGCCGAGGCGAATTTCTCCGTATCAATTTTATCTAATGGTTTTATCATCCTTCGCCGTTGTACGATTAGTTATTATACTGTAATTGGTTAATTGCGGACAAATTGGTAAATAAGAAAATTAGTGTATGTGGAGTGGATCTCCCATCGAGATATGACCAAAGTGTGGTTAAGTCGCGGTTAAAAATCTTTATAGAACTACAAGCATTTAAATAAATATTTATAAATTACGTCCATTAGGTCAAGTATGCTAAAATGAAGCAATATGAATGTCCCTAGATGTATCTAATGTGAAATAAATCAATGATAAAAAAGTTAATACAATCGTAACACTATTGTTGTTATTGATTTCATTTCTCTGTTTTATTTTATTTTTAT